TGGGAGAGAGTCAGACCCTAGCTATTCATGATTTGAGCTGTATTCTGTGCAGCCCTAAATGTGAGTCGTTTTTTCAAATGCTGCTCTACAGTATACTCTAGACAATTGCATATGGTTACTACTGAAGTCCTGGATGACAACTACTAAACTCTCTTAAGAATTCAGTTAAGTAGTACTCTTGAAATTGAGGGACATGTTGTGCACTTTCTACTTTACGTCTTCTTAACTTCCAAGAGCATAAAAGGTCCAAATCTGTATGGTGATTCATGTAGCTTACCTCATCTTAACTTGTTTTTGATAGAGGTGTAACAATACTAATAGCTGTTGTCGTCGTCTTTGTAGAGCAACTAAATTGATAAGTAATTAAGGAGCCAAAAATCAAATTTCTCTTACTAATTCTAAAAAAAGGGAATCATTATTGATTAGTGATAAGGAGCCAACGAGCTGAAGAAAAGCTTAGGCATGATGGTTGTGTGTCTGCAATATCAAAATGAAGCTGGAGGTATGTTGGACTTGGTTGTTGCTGGGTAACAAAGACCTGACTTTCTGTTTCAGGTATGTTAATGTGATTTGGGTGCGGAGAGCTTGAAAAGTAAATGGCTACTAACTGTAGTGCTTTAGAGGGGTTATTTTTTGTAGTCCTGTAGTTGAATTCTGGTAGTTTCTGGTTGCAACAATGTCTAGGGAAAGGTGCTTTAGAGAATATTCTTGTAAAAAATAAGGTTTAGTGGCCAAACTACAGGAACAAAAGAGAAGGAATATTGGCATTGTGGGAGGTTTTAACATTCTAGTTCCTTTTTAGTTAGAGAAGTTAAGGAGGATAACAAAAATATTATAGAGAGAAAACGTGAGAAATTCCAACTTTGGAGATGCTAAATGAATTATCACTTAGTTCATTAACCTTCAACCTAGTTTGGCCACCAACAAGAGGTTACTGTAGTTTTCAGTATGCTGTCCTCTATTAACAAATTAATGGAGCTCTTCCAGTAGTTTCTTGTTTGGAATTGAGGGAAACATCTTTGTTCAAAAGTTGTGTGTGTTATGCTTATATGATGTCCACGATACTCTCCTCGCATGACTTGGACTGTACTGAAGATGTGGTGAATTACCTTTTTTGTCACCTATCATTTATGAGGTCGAACGTTTATATACCATTTTCTCCATGCAAGACAGCAGCATGACCAGTAGTATTGCTCCTAGATTCATTGGTGAACTCAATCCCCACCTCCAAAATAAACGGAAGTAAAGAATGGGGTAAATAATGTTGAGCTGATAAAAACAGTCATATGCATGTAGATTTTGCTTGGATATAACCGAAGAATTTATGTGAAGTACATATGTCTCCATGTCGATACTACTTTCCTTTTTATCAGGCTTTGGACACGATAAAGAAATCTGTGCCCAAGAAGAAAGACAAAGACAAGTCAGCTTCAGCTTTCTCAGAAGACGATGCAAAAAGACTGGAGAAGGAAGTACGTCATATATATTAACTTGTTTGCTGAATGAAACATTCGCCATGTGCTGTATAATTTATATTCTATTCTCTACTGCCCTCTTTCATTTGGTTGTGTTTGTTCTTTCAGATTGATGACTTGACAAAAAAGTTTATTAAGTCAGCAGAAGATATGTGCAAGTCAAAGGACAGAGAAATAACTAGCAGTTGAAGAAACTAGTTTTAGTTTCATCGGAGGCTCACGCAAAGGTTCAATTTTTTGGCTGAAGCTATAGAGGGAATTATTTACTCTCCAGAATTCTTGTACTCGAAGTCGGAAAAAGATAACAAGACATGTTACAACTTACAAGTGATCATGCTAATACTTGAAAAGAAAGATATTGTATTTCATATAACCTATGCTGTTGGTTTTTAGCTTTTCATGTTCAGGATCATATATCATTTCATTTTGTGACAAGGGCTGAGATCATGTAACTTTTTTTTATATATAAATCAAACAACTATTTGTTCTCTTTCTCTTCTACAAGAATCATTATATTCAACCAAAGTATAACACTATCTGCAAAAATGATAAACTCTCGATATTACAGACTCATACATGTCTACATTACTGCAAAATTATCACTACCAGGATCAATTATCTGGTAGCTGCACAACGAAAGTTATATCGCGTAAAACATGATTGTGAAACTCAAAAAAAAAACCCTACATAATTCATGTCACAGCAGATAAAAGTATAACATGAAAAAATTCAATCAACTAGCTCTGATAATGCACAAACCACAACTTGCTTCAGTTTGGAGTACAAGGTTCAATCTTTTCGACATGAACATTGCCATCATAGTCAATTTTGTAGGAGGTGTCAAGGCCTTCCAAAATAAGGTGGTAAACAATATCATCAGAAAAATGAACTTCCTCTTGACTGTCGTCATCTTCAAGCGTTGCATTATTCATGCTGCTATTTTCAGTCTTATGAGGTCGAATCCTCTGAGATACTGATCGTATATCCCATGACAGCACTTGATGAATCAATTTTTGAAACTCAGTAGGAGATGTATAAAGTAATATCTCGGTTTTCTTCTTCTTTTGTAATTTTCTTGACCAACAATGGCTCAGAGAGGCAGAGAAGTCGTGAGAGAAGTTAACAGATGTTATAGCTAACATATTGTCCGTCTTTACCCAATCGGGGACCATTGCACCAGGCATGCTATCACAGTATGGAAGATATGGCTTGATGTCAAGGACGGGAGTTCCATCAACTAAATCAACACCAGAAATGAAAACTTTATTTCCATCCACAATATCAACCTTTGCAACAGTGAGGCCTATAGGGCATGGGCGATGAGGAGATCTTGTTGCAAAGACCCCCATCCTTTCTCCTTTCAGCCTTGGTACTCTTACCTTTGCCTTGAACTTAGACCGCGATGGATGTTTCCATAACTTGTCAAGATCCGTATTTAGATGAAAGACGTAAATTATCCAACAATGTGAATAGCCTTCAAGACCTTCAAGAGATGCAGGTGGAACTCGAGTTGGATCAAATACTAGACATGCTTTAGCAAGTGGTACAACCAAAGGTTGCCTCGGAGTCCCATTCCTAATCATAATTATTAGTACCACAACATATTATTTACATTACCATCCATATCAACAAGCCATACAAGAAAACACAACGTTAAAAAAGAAAAAGGTACCTCGTGGAGAAACATGACCGAGTGATTGCAATAGGTGCCAAAGGATATGAATTATTAGAATCATTTGAGTTGGCAACTTTCCTCAATGCCTGTTGAGCTCTAATGCGGCCTTGCCTCTCAGCACCACAGTTCTGCAATGCAGCCTTCAAAGATCTTTCCAACTCTCGGATTTTCTCCTCATCAGCTCTTGTCTTTCTTCTCCAAAACACAACACCTAGAGTTGCTGCTGATGCAGAAAGAGCAGCAAGTGCTATGGAGATTGTAAGCAATTTGGTTGCCGCCATGAAAAAAATAACGACCTAGAACGAAAGACAAGCATAGATATTGATGACCTTCCTCATTTGAGAATTTATAGATAAAATAGAGTCACAAGTTTGTTGAATTTTACAGGAACTTTTGGCCAAAAACATCCCTTAAACTAAATCCAGTAGTATTTGCGACATCCTTTTTCTCAACAGCATACATGAAAACACGTGACTTCCCCCTCTCAATCTCTCCATTCTATCCTCCCATCCGATCATCCTACACCTTCATCGCAACTAAGCCTTCGAAAAACAACACTTCTTTTTTCATCCTAAACTTCATATAATAATCTAGACCAAAGTTAAACAAAGAAGACATTAAAACAAGTTATTCTCCTAAAACATAACACATGACTTCCCCCTAAATCTCACATTTGTGTTGCTCGGACTTTTCAAAAATGTGTTGTATCCTCCAAATTAGTATTTGGAGGATCTAACACGAGTGCAACAAACATTTTGGAGAGTCCGAGCAACACATTGGCTCATAACTGATTTATCATGGAAACAACTCAACAGTGAATTCAATTTCTTTCAGGCATTTTAACAAACAGGTAAGGGGCATCTCAATACAAACCAATTATAACACTTCTTAACAATGAGAGAAATTAACTTTTACCTTTGTTTCATGAAGCGCAGCTACAGCATAGAATGACAAATTGCGTCAAAACTCAAAAGCATAGCTCTTTCCAGTTTTAATGGCGTAAAAAGAGTTGAGAGTGAATGAAAAGTTCAGTTTTTTTTTTGAAGTTTTGTGAAGGAGACGAAACAGGGGAGTTTGGGAGGGAAAATCACGTGCTTGACATGTGTTTTTGGTGACCAAATGGAAGGATGATTGTTTGGTTCGCCGACTAAATTATCTCGGATTATAGTCGTGAGATTAGAATTCTTAGATTAATATATGAAAAAATTACATAAATATACAATTTATTTTATCATATTTTTAAAATTTTTCTATCATTTGAAAAAAATTTACAAAACTTCCTACTCTATTCTATTCTCTAGTACATCACGTGATGTATTTGGACGAATATATCATTATACATGATGTATCAGGACGTAATACATCACTTTACAAGATGCATCGTGACATTGAGTGATGTGTCATATAGGAATGTTGAGCAACATATTCAAAACTGAGACGCGATATATCAGGATATATCTGGATCCAACCAAATTTAAGGGATATGTTGTTGCTGCATCAGATTAAAGTATATATTTATGATGATTCTTAGATTCTACAAACAGTCTGCTTAAACAATGAATAAATGACAGTTGATGAAATAATAGATAGCAAAATAGCTGATAAAATCAGCTCATCAAGTTCTTTCAATAAAACTTTTGTGTCTTTACAAGTCTGTAAACATACAAATGTGATTTGTGTAAACAGGAGTGAGCTTCATCCAAGGATAAGTGAAAATTTCTACTAGAGAGAGTAAAGCTGTAAAATTGAGTGGTGTTTGATAAGAAGTTCTTTTTAGGAGCATCCAACTGTTTCTGGAACCCCGTTCGATCTGCAAAGAATGTGTAGTCAAAACAACAAAAAGACCAGAATCACCGGTTCTGGAGAGCTTCAATCGCCTTTTTCCACTGTTGTGCTCGGTTTTTGGCATCCTCGAATGACATAACTTTCTTTGGCTGTAATGATCACAAGATGAATGCACACAGATAGCGGAAACGAGTTAAACTAAAGTAACAAAAACTTGACTAACAATGTTATATGCAGGGAAAGCAAAGGAACTTAACTGTACAAATCTTGAACTGTGAAGGGCTTGTGACTTGAATGCTAAGATCGTTAGGATTGTCGGACCATATAATGTTCCCTTTGATCACCAACTTTGAGGGATCTACGTAAATCAACTTTGGTTTATTTGTTAGGATTAGCTGAACTTTCTTGCTTGTGAGTTTCTGCAACTTTTTCACCATCGAGATCATGAGCACGGATTCACCAGGATCTAAAAATTGCTTCCTATTGATGCCATCACAAGAAAAAAGTCAACATATAGTAGTTATCAAAAGGGAAGATAGAAAAAGAGCATTTGGTCCAGATGGAATTATGGAACTCTATTGAAAAGGTTAACAAATATGACAGCATCCGGATATACTGGAGTGTTTTTCATTATTGAGGTCAGCAGAAGTTCATGAGCCTACCATTTTGAGTCAAAGGAGTCGATAGATGCGAGCCTGGTGATACTGTTACCAGCTTCAGAAACTGATGCAGCAGCACCGTTTCCATCGTTAGGTCTAACTGAACCATCTCCAATGTGTGATGGATTCCATGAAGGATCTTGCTCATCACCACTGCTATGAGTTGACGGGGCCTGAATGATTCATAACTAGAACTGTTTAACGGGAAAAGAACTATCTGTTGGGGCAAGTAAGATCTAAAACATAAAGCAAAATGAATGACATACTTTTGGCTCCATGGCAAGCCTTGGAGGGGTCTGCAACCTCAAATTCTCCCAATCGATCCCACTAAAGAAAGGATGATTTTTCAAGGAAGCATAACCATCAGGTCCAGCACCAGGTCTTCTGCTAGGATCAACATCCTGAGTTTTTTTTGCGCTCAAGTCAATCAGCAGAACAGATAACACTAATAGGAAGATATATCTAACATACTAACATACATACTCCATTATTTTCATGGATTATTGATTACTGTATGTCCTTCTCAAACGTGCTTTTATATGGCTTTACTTGAGTCAAGCATCTATTCGGAAACAACCTATCTACCTTACCTTCACAAAGTAGGGTTAAGGTCTGCGTAACACCACCCTCCCCAGACTCTAATTGTAGGATTACACTGAGTATGTTGTTGTTTGTTGTAGTAAATGTAGTGTTTGGGCCAGCTAGCGTGCACCTAGACTAATTCCACCCTCTACTTCCGGCCAAGACAGTTACCTGGTAACTCTATCCACCATAGCTTAGACAGATGAAACAAAACACGTAGTGTCTTTGCTCAACTGAGAATTGAATCCAAGACTTCATGGTTCTCAACCTATTTCATTGATCACAAGGTCACACCCTTGCGTTCACCAACCTAAAGTTCTATAACCTGAAACTTCATAGGAACTAGTGAAAGACAACGTAGCACGTTGCTCACATTAGCACAAAAGTCCCACAATATACCAGCAACGTCCTTTTCCAGTACTGGATAATAATTAATAGCTGCAAGTAACGAAAAATTATAACCAGCAAAACTGCACTTGCAAGCCAGCACATGGAGGACAAAGCTTCTGGCTTTATATTTTGAAATTTGAATGTTTTAAAACTATATACTACATCCTATTAGAAAGAACTAAGTTGTCGAAGTCTCGAAGATAGTGCTAGACTACTGTAGAAAAATTCATTCTCTCTATGTAAGAAGTTGAAAAATATGAAAGGTCTTTGTCATGTAAGCATTGTGGTGGTATTTCAACACCCAGAATTTTTTGTAATGATATTACATAGTATATAACTCTCTAGACTGCATGACGGTCATGTTGTACAGTGTAGACAAAACAAGATACTACTTCAGAAGCGAAAGTTACATTTTTCACATGCACTTTTTTTACTTTATTCATAATAGGATAGGTATCGATTGCAGATTATAAAATACGTATAAAATTGTAGGGACATTCCCTGTTTCATTCACAAAAGATAAAGGTCAATAGACAAAGATATGGTCCACGACTGAGAAAAAATTAGCTACAACTTTAGATCAGGAATATTATAATTCCAAAAACAAAGCTGGTCAAACCTCACTTCAAGGAGGCGTGTTGTTTAAAGTAGAGACCACACTGTCTAGAGATGAAAGTTCAGTCAAATGGAGAAGTGTAAAGTATAAAACATAAAAAGAAAAAAAGCTAGCATAATAGGGGAAACAGAAAGAGGAACCACAGGATGGAAGTGAATATTAAATACGAAATGATAGCGTACCAGCAGCTGATCAATAATATCTCTGGCTTCATTTGAAAAATAATTTGGGAATCTAATATCTCTGGCAATGATTCTCTGGAAGATGAGCCATTCACTGGCATCTTTAAACGGAGAAGTTCCTGAAAGCATTTGATACAATGTGCAGCCAAGTGCCCAAAGATCATTTCTGGTAAAGACATATCCAAAATGAATAGTGATGTTAGACAAATATGATTCATAATAAAGAAATGTAGACGCTAATATGAACAAGCTGTAAAAATTTAAAAGGAGCAATGATGCAGACATGGACCTACAACATATGTCCTAATAAAACACAAAGAAGAAGAAAAATATGGTTTTTCCAAAGATAGAGTTTTATACCCAAAAGTCGCAGGAGAAGAATTTAAAACTTCAGGAGGTACATAAGCGGCTGTTCCCACAAAAGTACAGGCTTTGTCATCTGAATAAAAAGAACAACCAATGATTCAATAATGATCAAGACGACAATATACTCTCATCAGGTTAATGTGAATCCAATTTCAAGGAGAGTGTCATCGTAGAAAGCAACATTTACCTGATGCAGCATTTGGAAGGACTGTTATTCTGCTATCCTGCATTGGCTTTACACTGCCAAAGTCTGCAATTTTAATATGTCCATCTGAAGTAAGAAGCAGGTTCTCTGGCTGCCAATAAGCGAACTGTCAGAATCCCCCCACATATATTATTCACGTAACAGTCCACTTTGTGAAATACCTTAATGTCTCGATGAATCAATCCCATACTATGTATATATTCAAGAGCGTCTACAACTTCAGCTGCATAAAAGCGTGCCTCATCTTCAGACAAACGGCCTTTCTGCACCCACAAAGTTAAAACTACATTGTTCATGATCCTCTCTTGCTAGCCAATCAAACAAGAATATTAGCACATCATATATGTAGTCACAAACTTTAGAGAAAGGAAATATTTTGAAGAAAGGACGGGAACATTTTCAATAAGTTCATGAAAAACACCAATGTTTTGACTGGAAAAAGCAGAATACACAGGGAACCTTTGAGAAGATGTTCATTCTTTTCGGAAGTTGGAAAGAATAATACAGACACCTTATAGAACATCAAAGTATGGCTACATTTCAGCCTACGGAACTCAACCATTTAGCTTTCATTCAAATAAGTACAATATCCATATTCTGCAAAAGGTTCACGGGTTGACAGGAACTTCCATTTTTCTTATTGCATCGGGTTCTACTTGGACACTTCATATAACAACAACAAGAATACATGCATCAAGGTTCTTCATTTACTTACCCTTGTTATTTGATCAAAAAGCTCTCCACCTTCACAAGACTCAAGTGCCATGTCTTCATAATACAGACAAATACAATTAAATTAGACAAACCAAAGATCAACAAGAGTGCATGCAAAATGGGGGGAAAGACACTAAATGAAGAATGAATAAAATACTCACACAGTGAAAAAGTGTCTTGAAAGGTGAAAAATAGTCGGACAACACCGGGATGATCTAACTGATCAAGTACAATACGCTCTAGTTTCACATAAGCAGTCTTATTTTCCTTAGTGATGAACTTCTTGTCCATGATCTTCAAGGCATAAACATTCGCAGTATCTTTCTTTTTCGCTCTGACAACCTGATAAAACATAGAGGGCAAATAACTTAAATGCTAAAACTTTAATTTGACATGTCGATAATTAAGCATTAACACCACAATTTGAGTTCATGTACTTTAATTATATCCATAATCTATTCTAATGAAAAAGTGAGAAGATGAAAAGGGATATACAACACATCTCAGAAGATTCTTGTTAGTTACTAGTACAAACTAATAAGCCAGAAACTCAATCACACATTTGTCTATGACAACCCCTGAAATGGAGCACTACACTAGGGGTGTGATTTCTTCTTCTTCTCCTTCTTTTTGACAAATCAGATATATTCCATAAACAACACAACAAGAAAGTGTCCAAAAATATGTTACACAAAAATTGTGGTTCAACCAAAATCATCTATTAGATCACACAAACTACCAACACAAATGAGAATTTTCTCTTTACACCAAAAGCAAATGAAACAAGAATGATATTTTTACATCCCTACATCATTAATGCCATAAAGCATAGTTTCTATAAGTATAAATCTCTTCAAATGAACAGCTTCTTACCAGATAAGTTCAGACAAACTTCAAAGATAAACCCTCAAAAAAAATTTATCAGTGGACAGTAAACTAAATTTCTGCTTACACAGATTAAAGAACCATCAAAAGGGAAGACATGTGGAATTCAGTAAAAAATGACAACAGAGATAAACCAGTGACCAAGCCCTTCCATACTAAACAAAAAGGCCAACAAGAAGAATATAGAAATGCTAACAAGTTTAAATTTTCACAGTTAAGCAGAAATTTTTAAGCAATAGAAACCAAATATAGAAATGCTACCAAGTTGAAATTTTTAAAAAATGGAAATACAAAGATAAGGAACAAAGGGGGGAAAAAAGTGACCTTGGAATAAGAACCAACTCCATAGATCTTCCCCAATTCAAAATCTTGAATTGTAAAATTCTCTTGTGGTGCCCTAAATGCAAAGCTCTTAGATCTCTGAGTATTAGCTGAATTGTTCTGAATCTTTAGCTTTGCATCAAATTCTTGCTCCATATCACCTTCTCCCCCTACCAATGCCAACATTTCACCCTCAAACAAGAAAAAAACCTAATCTTTCAGCACCCCCACAAACCCCTTTCAATCAATACACTTATATTCTTCCTATATCTTCAAAAAGATTGGATTTTTTTCACAACAAACTATGAAAGGAGTGAAAGCAACACCATTGAACAACAGCAGTAACATAAAGAACCCATTAAACATCAGCTCATATCCTCTTTATATATTCTCTCTTTCTTTCTTTTTCTTTGTTCTGATAAAGCAATTCCATATGTCAAAGACACCCAAAAGCAAATGATTCCTTATACATGCAAAAAAAAAAAAAACTAAAACTAAAATTAGAAAAGGAGAGACACCATTATGTATATATTTTTATAAATATGTATAAAGGTGAGAGCTTTAAGTTTCTTTCTCCCCTTTTCTCTAAACCCTAGAAAGCTAAGGTAATAATAATAAAGATTTCAATAAGAAAAGATGAATGAATAACACAATATGTTTATTTGGGGATTGAAGAGAAGAAGTGCACATGAAAATGAATGATGGATATCATTTCATTTCATTACAAAATCCAATTCTTGATAGAAAAAATTCCTTTTTTTTCTCTCTTTCTGTGTGTACATAAGTACATAGAACACCCCCTTCTCTTTTTTTTGTATAAAAAAATGATTTTTTTATTGTATAGGACCAAAAATGTAGGGTAAGGGGTAGAGGATGATGTTGGTTCCTATGATTGGGAGGCCTTCAAAAATGGCATCAGTAGTAGTTAGTTACATTGTATGCTGCCATTGGCATTGGTTTACCAGTTACTCTGAATGTTTATGGGGTTCTTTTCTTGTTTTTGGGATTTTTACAATCTTGACACCTTTGTTTGTATTTGCAAGTACAAAATCCCTTCTTGGAAGATCAGAAAGTTGTAGTCTATAGCTCGAACATGACGTAGTGGATGAAGTTGATTTTTTCGAGGTTTTAAATATAATTTTTTTTTTTTGATAATGCTATTTTTGAATTGAATCCTATGCAATATAAATACGAATCGATTAATTTTAATGCAAGTATCAAACTCCTAATAGAGAAAGTTGTTGTCTTTCAATAGGCCACTGTTCTTAGATAAATAGGTAGAATAATGTTTGATATTAAATTTTAGTATAATGTTTGGTTGCAAATTTAACTTTTACATAATTAATATTAGTAATTGTAAATCAACATTTGTTATTATTTGTTAATATTAGCATTCACTATAATAAAAGAGTTATTTAGTTATAATTTTTAAAATGTGTAATGATAATTGAATCACAAAAATATTTGATAATCTTATTGTAGCCAAATAATTATCATTATATCCTTTAGTTATTATAATAATTACCAATCTCTGACTATCTGTCTTTCAATCAAATGACCCCTAAAAATTATGAAAACAAAGAAATTTAATTTATTTTAATTATAAATTTGAGCTTTGAGCTTTGATAATAATGACAAAAAGGAAAAATAAACTTTTGATAGTGAAAATTTAAATTAATTGAAACTCAAAAATTAAGGAATAGATGTAGATTGAAAAGGAAAAAATTAGGATGTATTCAATGTTTGGGTTCAATACTATTATTATGGGGAAAAGTCACTTAAATGAGATCAATAAACTTTGGAAAATGAGGCAAATACATTTTAAAACATATTTTATAATATAAAATATTTGGTCAAAAGTCAAAAAGCCTAATTAAAGTTCTTGTGGCATGTCATTTCATTTTTATTGAAGTTATTAATTAACTAGTGGTATTTTCTTTAAACTTTATAATATGTAAATTTATAATATGTAAATTTAAATTTAATCGAGTACTATACAAATTTTGATTATTAAGTAAGAAAGTAAAAAAAGGATTGTCAATAATGTGAAGTTTTAATGCTAACACTATAGACTTAATTATATGACTATTTTGGATATTTTTCTTTTAAAAAGGTACAAACATGACATTGTATTTTACCTAATCATGTTTCATTAGGCTTAACTATTGAGTACTACTTATGCCTAAAATTAAGTTAATTTCTCATTCTTATCATATGAATCCTTCAATATATTAATTTTGTGGATATTTACATACATTTATGAATTGATTACTTGATACATTTTGTTTTGTTTTTTTCTTGCTTTAATCATATAAAATGTATGTTTCGATTTAGATTAATAAACTCTCGTAAAGATACTTACTATTAAGAGGTTATATATTTTTAAATCTTGAACACATTGATGCATCACTACAAAAGTAAAATTTCTAACTGAAATGATCATTTAAATACGAATTATTTTTGACAAAAATTCAGTCAAATGTATATTCAGTAAGTCAATTTACGACGAACTTTATTCAAAATATGCATTTTCTATGAGGTGTTATATTTTCCAATAGTACTTATTATTAAGATAAAGAAATTTCGATCTATCCCGCCACGCTCTTTTAATATACCATTTTTTATTCTCTTTGATTTCTTGGTGGATCATTCATTGGTAGTAGACATAAAATATTTTTAATTATTTGAGGCATTTGTCTTGAGAGATGAAATAGACCTCTTCATGTTCCTAGACAAATTCACCACCCTTAAATTTGAGTGCTTCCCTTCGAAATGGGGTCGATCAGATAAATCTTGAGTATAAAAAAATTCTTAATAGGAATCATTTTTCCTCTCGAGTAAAGTCTTAAGAGGTGTGAATTTAGAATAGTCGAACTTTAATGTGAGTATCGAATAAATCAAAAAAAGAAAGTTATGTTTTATAACGTCCTTTACGATCCTTTTCCATTTCATTGTGGATTCATCGAAGTTTGGTATCATCTATGTCCTCTTGAAATTTATTTGATATGTATAAAATATTAATTAAAATTTGATAACTTAAAAATGCTAGAATCCGTAATCTATAAGTACCTAAAAGAAATATTACGAAATAAATTGACTAATAAAATATTATCATATAAATCAGAATGAAGGAGTACTCTACTATTCTTAAATTTTTTACCGATCAAATATTTTCACATAAATTAAAACAGAATAAAATATTAATAATAATTAATTTGAAATAATAATAAAATCAAATATGAAAACCAATATGGTCCAAAGAAAAGATAAAACAAAAGAGAAATGGACCTAACAAAGCCCAAAAGGTCCAAACTAAAGTATAGATACTCATCAAACTTTAGATTTGATATAGTATATACCCTTATCCATCCATATACATCATAAATAATTCAACGCAGATTCAAAATTTAAATTTTGTAAACTCGAAATATCACTAAATTACTACAATTCGAGTTACATATATACTAAGTTCTAAGTTTGTTTTCGTATGATTTACCGTCACTAATGTACATGGTTCTATCTTTTTTTCTTAATAAATATTTGTATACATATGAATTCAACCCCTTATACTATTGTCGTTCATCTTTTCCTTAAGATCATAGAGTCAGGTTTCCCGTTTATCTATAACGAAGAAAATGCCTATATCACGAATCATAACATACACCTTCGCTTTGAAAATTGACTTTTTTGCTCGATTCATAGTTGATCAATTGAAATTAAATTGACTCGGTAAATTATATCGTAGATCCCATAGACCCAAAGGATGCAATTATGTCAAAATGTGCTGTCAAAAAGGGGCTATAGGTCCCATTTGTATACACATAGAGCCTACATATTTTCTCTTCCCACATTCCCTATGCTTCTTTAATATATTCCCTCAATCAACTCACATGCACAATAACGTGATTGGGAAACATTAATAAACTTTTAGATATCATAGAAAATCATATTCATGTTCGTGTCTCGATTATTTCATTAGATGTTTATTATCGTTCATTAAAACGATCATTACCTATCTTTTTTCAATCATAGTAGTAGTGCTCACTAGATATTTGTTATCATTTCAGTGTTCAGTATTCGTATTGGTGCTTAACTATTTCGAATTCGTTCAACGTACTAAGAATTTATCGATATTCAAAGCTAAAAAATGTATGTATTTTGTTTATACAGTGGAATTTGAATTCTAATTTTCTAGGGGTGCATGTAATGGGCCAATTAGTAGCAAGACTTCATTCGAATTCGATCATAACGTCAACTTGTTTCGATGATTCTTTTTTTCTGTTGGTTAAGGTATATAACATGTATCGAAATATTATTTAATCGCGTGACTTTAAATATGTCATGTGAAAAGTTAAAAAGAATTATCAAAACCTTTGTATAAATCAAATTTTCCTTCTTTTTCAATAAGGCAAATATTTCTGGCTTGATGGCAGTTATTCAACTACAAACACATGAATTCGCTACATCAATAGTTTGATGTGAAGTTACCTCACACTTCACAACATGTGGTATCAATCGGTTAAGGAGCTTATAGTTTTCTTATTATTCAAGCAAACGACATTCACCACAAATAATTCTATCGGTTTGAAGTTATCCCAATACAATAGAGACACATCACAAAGTATGATATCTAACGATTAAGGAGATTACGTTATATTATACAAGGACAAGAATCATTACCAATAATTCGGCTTGAAGTCATCCCAATACAAAAGAGACACTTCAACTGTGATATCTAACCATTAAAAGATATTATAATTACCTAATATCACCACATGAATTCTCTACCAATAATTCAAACTATCCCAATACGAGAGGAACACATCGCAAAGTATGATATCTAACGATTAAAGAGGTTATAGTTATCTTATACAAGCACATAGAATTCACTACCAATAACTCGGCCTGAAGTTATCTCAATACAAGAGATGGACACATCACAAAGTACGATGTCTAACGATTAAGGAGCTTATATCTATCTTTTTTTATACAATCACATAGATTTCACTACCAATAATTCGTTTCGAAGTTATCCCAATACAAGAGAGACACATCACAAGTTTGTTGAAGAAAAACTGTATATCCTTGCATTGAGATCATATGATGTCATAAATATATGTTGGTGAAAAGTATATCTTGAAATCTGATGGGACAACAAAAGAAGTATATCATCAACTTATGTATCT